AGCGAGCTAGTTTAGTTGATTTAAAGAACAACTCATGAAATGAACTGGGATTTAACTGGTCCTTTGTTATTACGACTCCCCTCATAGTTACTACTGGTGTGACTCGATTTATTGCACCAGTATAGCAGTTTGTATGCCCCCTTTGTTTAATCGTGCCAACATAATGATGGTTTCTTTTATTCTGCGGCTTACGGATACAACATCCTTCTCGGCGACACTATTTTGTTAACTATATCTTATCATTCTTAGTCGTGGTAAAAGGATTGCTTGAAGGTACCAATTTTTGTATCTGCAGTCCTCGAAACAATCGTGCATACTTCCATGCTGATTTAAGCGTCGCAAAAAATTGTCTAAGTTTGCCATAGTTAGGGAAGGCAACTGGCTTGATCGAGTTATTCAGATACACTTAAGACCTTGGGCCGTTCTTCAGTAAGGAGAATCTAGGACGTGGGAGTAGGGGTAAAGAAAAAACCTAAACTCAGTATCCTGAACCTCAAACTTCAGAAACTGTCACTGTTTCATAATAATACTTATTTGTTTCGAATAATCAATTTTACTTGCATACAAGATATTGAATTGGTTTAGATTAGCTAGCTGAAAAGACGTCCGTTGTTTAACAACCTGTTAGGCTTACCAGAGCTACAGCGGGGCATGAGTGTTCCCACTGAATCAAAACGTTTAAAAACCTGAGACGGTTTCGCCGGAGACGGGAGAGAGTGAATAATAAGCGGAAATGTTCGTACGGGCTTGCAAAGGAAGTTGGCCGGTGACGGAGTTAATCTTATCGGAGGTCTCGGTGGAGATGCACTGAGGAGTCTAGAGTTGTCCGAGTTTCTGAGCTCATACTTCGAAGAGCAACTCAGTACCGCCGACATAAAACTGGTATCGGTTTGATGCGGCACTTATCAGATCATAAATAATGAATGCCCCCCACCACACCGTAGTCAAATGGAGATGCGTATCGGCCAACTTATCCATGATCCATCGCGGCAAGTCCTATGGCTGTGGCGACTTGAGACCTGTTATCCTGAAGAACTGATCCAAACCACTCATCGAAACCAACCTGAAACCTTTTCAAGCACTTGCTAGTCTTTCGGACTGCCCGAAAATGAGAACGGCGGGTCTAGTCACCAAGTTTCAGCGGAGGAGGCAGAAAAAGTCATAACAGCCAGGGATCGATTGTCCTACTTCCTGTACCATCCAAAGTATCGGAAGAGGTCTAGGAATTTCGTAGCAGAAAACACCGCCTATGCTGTTAAATGCTGTTTGTGTGGCTGTTCGTGTATCACAAACTTGCTGATTATCCGGACGACCGAACTTTTATCTGAGACAACAGAAAAGCAGTGCGTTATTTTTATCGACCTAGCTAACTTATTTGACAGCGTACCGTAGTCGTTGCTACTTCGCAAGCATGCGTCAGATGACATTAGCGAACCTCTGCTTTCTTCCTTCAGGGTGCACCTAGAAGGCAAAGACTTTCGCACCCAAGTAGACGGGGGCTGTAGAAGTGGAAACCGTTGACATCCAAGGTACCTCGAAGAGCAATCCTTGGACCACCCCTGTTCTCCAGTTCTTCCCTGGTTTGACACATATAATCTCCTCACCCATCCCTCTCTGCGCTGATGACATAAAAATTTGGAGGATAGTAAATGAAGAGGTTGACTGTAGAGCACTCCAAAAAGACGCACAGCAACCAGAACTCTTGTCGTCGGATAACAGTTTGGGGTTCGGTCTCGAAAAGTGCAAAGTAATGCATATCAATACTCACAAAACAAGGACTGTGAAATCCAACACAAGTTGAGTAGCCGTACTGTCACCAAAATATTCCCCGTAAAATATCTGGGGCTCATCTCCTGGAACATTGCTGAACACCAACTGAAACTATAAGGGGATGGCTTCCAGGATGAATGCCAGCTTACACCCTCGGTGCGGGCTCCATGGTGCTGTCGCCTTTGAATTGTTCGTCATGGCTTTCGAACCTTATGCACGGTCACTAGCCCACCACTGCTCTCTTACTACCTATTGTTCATCACCCCTATTGTTGATACACTCGCATTATATGCTAACTGTTCTCCAATAACTAGACCCACGGTGCCGGAGTTTACCTCTCGGGTAGGTCCCATATACCGTTTCCCACCACCTGCTATTCCACTTCAGGCACATATACAGATAGGAGTTGCGAAAGACTCCCAATCCTCCCACTAGCTCGTGGCTCCCTAATCAATCCACAGATCACAATTCCCCACCCGCAAAGGCATTTGCCTCACGTAGCTAAATGCAAGAAAGAGGAACGGATGTCTTCGTCTCCACAGAGAGAAAACGGAACAACAAGAACCAGTGCTCAATAAGAAGGAGCGGGGACCAAATACTATCAGTTTCCTACGCTCACACTTTTGATGTCCAGAGAACCCTCATATGGTAGGAGACTTAGGGCACCCGTATTCACCAGTCTTTGAAGGAACCCCACAACACCTAGAAACTCAATCAACACTCAGCAGCCCATCAGGCTAACCAGAGCTACCGCAGGCTACCGGATAGACCCAGTGCATCAGAATCCACCAAAGGCCCGGGACTGTTCAACAAGACATGGAACCAAGCTGGAAGAAATAACGTGGTCTACCCTAGCTCGCAAAACGATATTAGACAAAGCCCTTGACATTGTCTCACACCATCCTAACACACAAAATAGCAGGGTTAAGCACCCGAGGTAGGGTGTTATCGTGGTTGCAGAACTACTTAGACAGTAGGGAGTTCTGAACAAAAGTCAACAGGGCCCACCCAACCTAGAGAACGTCATCGTCCGGTGTCTCACAAGGAGGAATCCTGGGTCCACTGTTGTTCCCACTGTTCGTGAATGACCTCCTGCTGCATACCAGCTCTCCGATTCTCCTCTACGCTGATGACGTCAAGTTATGGAGGGCAGTAACTCGCGAAGTGGAATCGAGTGCATTACAGAACAACCTCAAGTCACTGGAGGAATGGGCAACATATAACTATCCGGCATTCAACCTGGATAAGTGCCGGTCCGCGTGCTCCCGCACTCCTGATCCCCAGGAAGTATCCTACTCCATGTGTGGTTCACATTTATCCCAAACCACAGTAGTAAAAGACCTAGGTTTAGCGGTGGCGGGGAGACTGGGCACCAGTTCCAACTACCCGGATGACGCCTCAGAAGCATACGGTGTACTACACTTAGTGCGCAGACAACTAGGTGCCCTCACCGTAGAGCTCTTTGTTAAGCTCTACAAGACTTACATACGACCCAGATGTCTTCATAATGTTTTCACTCCACCACTACTTAAAAGAGGCACGAACATGCTGGAGAAAGTTCAGGGGGTTGGGATTCAACGAAAACCGTATGAGGATAGACTGAAAGACCTAAGCTTATGTTCTCTTAGCTACCAAAGGCTACGAGATGACTCGATAATAGCTTAAAAAATGCTGAACATCCCAAGTCACTCTGGAAGAGGATTACTACCGAGTGGCCACCATTGTGATCCTTGTGGAAACCCTGAGAGAATTGCCCACCAAAGGTCAAAAACACATGTGCTTTCACACTCCTTCTCCCTGCGAGCCTGCGGGCACTGGAACGCATTATCAACGGAGTTAGTCTCCGCCCCATCTGTCGAAAGCTTCAAGAAAAGGCTAGATAGTCACACAGAGACCCATGGTCTACCCACAGGTAGCTGGGATACGAACTAAACGGAAGAAATCTAATGCTGTCATACCATTCCAACTATTTTACCTCTACAACCAGTTTTCCTTCTACTGTGACCATTTAAGCCCTCTTCATCGCTTCCACCTGCCATGAGTTAGCCTCACTACCTACGTTCTTCACACCTTTGCACCCCTTTTCGCCTAACTTGGCTGTAAGCAGATTACTACATTAGTTCACTTTTCTTTCCCCTCTTATTCACATAAAATCTCCTTCTGGGTTTCCTCCTCACTATCCCTAACTGTCCCTAACGACCAGTTGAAACAACTGTCTGGCAGCTCGACATCTGAAGAAGCCAACTGTACCGCAGTCCAATGCGAACCAACCAACACTTAACCTCCTGTTCTGTATACCAGCGCCACAGCAAACGAGTGGCTGGATCTGCTGCATCGGAATCCGCCGAAGACCTGGAACCGTTCGGCAAGACCAGAAGGCGAGAAAAAAGAAAACAGGTTTACACAGGCTCATTAAAAAGATAGTGGACGTTAGGTGTGAGCAGATGTTGATTATTGAACGGAGGTCCATTTGAGGTAGTTGTTACAGGGGATGATCTTCGACAAAGCGGTAACATGTGACTTTGAGAGTTTAAGCCCAGACGAAGTGGTTTTGCTTTCACCTCACTTGTATCGCTGTGGAGACTTGATTCAATGCCTCTCCAGTGTTCCGATGACTCATGACCTCCGTCACCTTATAAGTGACATCATAAGCCTCCTACAAAACATCAGCTGTTTACCAATATCTGATATCTGGGAGGAATTATGCAGTGAATACTCACCTTAGTAAGAACCTGTGATACAATTTAATGCTTCGTGTAGTTTTATCTCTCCATATACCTCCCTTATCTTGAATTATGAGTCACAAACGTCATTTGGGAAAGTGAAGTCACTGATGAGTCTCTTAGCTCATTTTTGCAATGATGTAAGGTGATGAGATACATTTTTTCACCGGTTTTAGAAACCTGATTCAAAATGTTTATTAGATAGCTGTTGTGAGCTTCTAGAAACTGAAGCCATAGAAACTGAAGTTGTTGCCATTTTGTGTTCTTTATTCAATGGTTGGTGTACCTCCATTTTATATCTAAGCTTTAGGCCTTTCAAAATATTGCTTGGTTGAAAAGTTTTTTTGTGGATATTTGGTCCACTGCAATGAAATCAACTACAGTATTTTACTGAGACTGGCAGTTAACTTACCTTCCGATTGGTGGTCGATAGTTAACGGACTGTGGCAGTTAGGAGAATCTTTCAAAGCTATGTATGTTTCCGGATCATCCTTTATTGTATTTTAGGTCTACCGATCATAATAAAGACGAGAGAAACCCAAAAACTTGCACAGGAGATCCTAATTCATTTATTGGGAAGCATTTAAGCACATCTTCATTGTCAAGGCGCATTCAAAATGTTTTATTTTGCTTGGTGGAGCTGAATCCCCACAATGCTGTTGTGGTGATTGAAAAATGTGTAAGTCTTCTTTATCCTTTAAAAAGCTGTCTAACATATTGTGTGATTATTTCTTAGCTTTCGTTGGGATGAAAACATTGTTGCACCCGTGTACAGCTCTGCCGCTTTGCTTTAAGCACTTCATTTCTAGATTGTGGGTCACGGGTTTCAACGTTGCTTCACTGAAGAACTTTTTTATGGTCAGGCAGTATCATCAACCCTCACTCAATTCGTGTGGCTCATTGCCTACTGCACAGTTGTGTACATGGTTGCTGGACGCATTTCGATTCGAGTGTTGCACCTGTCACACCTATGTGCCTATGCAAAAAAGTTTAAAACTAATGGTTGATAGGTCTGTAAGAAGTGAGCAATGTGACCAATCTGAAATTGTTGCAAGACCAAACTGTAGTTCGCAGTTAATACTACATTTTTCCCAGTAGAGAAGTATGGTTACTTTAAACCCTTATCTTTATGCTTTTAATGTTGGTCTTGTAGTGTAGGTTAGTCGCTCAGTTCGCTTTTGTACTCATCCACTTTTTACTACATGTAGGAGATTATGTAACACTTCAACTTTCTTCTCGAAAATCGATTTTGATATACGTAACTGGGAGACTTTTATCTTTCAGTTCGTAGACTTGCTTTAACTATATCCGGTGATTTTATCCTTGCTTTCAGTGGAGTTTACACACTTTAAGTAGTCATCTGCAAAAATAAACAAGAGGCAGTTTCAAGGGAAATGCATTTGGTTCTTTTTATCTTCCTACTTTCAGATCATTACTCGTCAGTTTCCAGGCTTAGTTTTGGATTTGCTTCTTGGTTTAGTCAAAAAAGATGCCTACACATTGATGTTTCTCAAAAGGATTTTGTTGGATAGTGGTCAAGATATCCGATCGTGGATGAGTAACTTTTTGAAGCTCTCAGTGAGTTTATCATTGTTACCTGTATTACTGTTTTGCTCACTGCTAATGACACAAACGTTTGTACACAGTGAATTGTTTTGTTTTTTAAAATATCGTCAGAGCGAATCTGAGTGTTTTGCCCCATTTTTTGAATTTTTGGTGTTCGGTTCCCAAGTTTATTTGGACATTTATCTTTGAATGCTATGAATTACTCGTATCTTGCTGATGACCTTTACCTCTGCACTGCACATCGTTTTGTTTTGTTATATGACTGTCAGACATGACATGTCCGTTAAAAGTAGAAGACATGAAGGGGGTGAAAGGATTTTAATCACATATATCTACTCAGCGTTGCTCGCACTTGATGATCAATGTCGATGTCAGGTGAAGGGTACTAGGCAAGACAGGCAAGTCGATTAGTGATGTTGTGAACCTTAATCGACTGAGATGGCTTGGACATGTGTTGTGCATGCCAAGGCATCGTCTACATTGATTGATCTGGTAATGGAAGCTGGATTAAATTCGGAGGGGATTCATGGTTGTGAGACCAAGACATGGCAGCAGTTTACGATGTCTGTAACTGTTTCTCTGAGCCTGTGTAGGTAGGTATGTACGACGTGAGGCAGTGGGTGGTTGGGGTGGGTGAGTGCCCGAGACAAAAGGAGTGAGTAATTGTGGACCTTTGGTGACATGACTGAAAATCGGTGATAATGGTGCACATGTATTCCCTTTTTGATATCTTCTAAGGCTTGAATACTAGCACTAACCGCTATTTTTAGATTGTTCATTCTCTTACACTGCTTTATCTACTTTGTCATCACTTTTTCTATTCACCTGTTGTTTGTATACTATTGTGAAGTGTGGTAACTTGAGACGATGCACTCATATGTGAGGTTCTCAGTTAGTCTTGTCTATCTGGTCTTTGTTTTCCTGTTACTGTTTGTCATTTTGTTTGAGGGTTCGGCACAATAGTTTACCTTATTTGATGACTATTTGCTTGGGTATTCAAGATATACCAGTAAACATTGACTTTATAAGTATAGCGACATAAGAACTTAAACGTCTTCATTTGTAGAATGTAAAATTGTAATATCGTGTTGAAGTATCGAATTAATCTCGTAAAATTTTATCTGTATGATATTTTTCATTTCATTACTTGCTTTTCATAAAGTGAGTATTTTTAATTGTTATTGTATGAAAAGTTAACTGAAGTTTACACAAAAAAACAACAACATAGACTGGACTAATTTAAAGTCAATATCAGTGTAGTGCTGTGAACATCTTGGCGGTTTACAAACACATCATCGTAAAGATTAACATAAGGTCTAATTTTTGTTGATGTCGTAGCTTGTATAGCTGTCGTTGATTGGACCAAATTGATAGGCCACTATTGGCATATATGCTGCTATGCGGATGCCTCAGTATTACTGATGTTTTCAATTTTGATATTAATGGTCGATAGTAGCTAGCAATGGGATCCATGGTGCGTGTTTCCTGCTATTTGGGACTCGTCAGCTTGATGTACCTGCCTCTCAGTGAGTGTTGTTACCACCAACTAGGACTCGAGCCCGGGACAAATTACGTCAAACGCCAGTGTTATCCACCAGACCACTGAGTCATGATAGCCACTTCTTGCGTTTGAAGCAATTGGGGACAACATCACTTACTGAGGGACAGATTCATCTGGCTGATGAGTCCCACGAAGGATGAAGCGTAGGTCTCGGATTCCACTGCCAGCCACTATCTATCATCGACAAGTTCCAACTACCTGAATTCAGCCTAAGTGATTTTATAGAGATTAAGGTAAGTCAAAATATAAGGCTAATTTTCAGAAATACTAGACACTTGGTCTATACATTATCTCTAACTATTTACATTTGAAATTATAATTTTTCAGTCTTCTGCTTCGTATTTGGAGAAACTCAACTTTCATTTTATGGCGATAACTACGAACCTTATACCTCATGACTCTACAATCCCTTTGGATGACAGTGTAATTCTAACTGCTATAACATTGTTGCGTGTGCTAGCTGCCTTTCGAGGATTTGTCAACTACAAGTAAATGCATCTCTGTTCATATTTTTCACTATTTTATTGTGGGTCGTTTGATTAGATAGAAAGCATTCAAGATTCAATTGTAATTCAGTGTTTTGCATTACTGAAAAAAGTATACCACATCCGACCTGGTGTTTTCGATGAAACAAACATGCTACTTACAAATGAGTAGTAGTATACTTTTGCTTACTAAGCATTTCGGTCTTTCTATCTGCGAAAATCATAAAATGTCATAAAAAAAAATATATATTTTTGACAGAGTTTACACTGCTTGTGATATGATCATAAAATAAATAGTCTTCTCTCTGTCCCGAAATCCTCTTCATCATTCGAAGAGGAGGTTATTGTCTTTAACTCGTGTTCACTTGTTGTAAAGTCCTAGTCGTGTATTTGATACAAGCAGTCTCTTTTATGAATTTAGATTGGTGTAGGTAGAAGACGAAGTTTATGTGAACAGTATGATGTATTTGTACAATACATTTCGAACAATCTGGTCATACATTTACTTGTCAAGTCACTTTATATCAAACCGAAGAGTGGAAGGAGATTTATAACAATTCAGATAGTATGGGATTAAAATTAAGAAAGACGAGAACAAACAGGAAGTGACATAGTTGATCCTAATCTGGGTAAGGAAATAAAGTTTACCGAGGGTTAGGTGTAGTGTAAAACAAATTGTTTTTTTGTACATATAAATGTGGTTTCAATTAGCGTATGGCCGTCGCTTTAGCAAATCTCAATATGCATTTGTGCTTGTTTCTATATAAAACTTTGGAAGCTATTGGGACACGTACTACGTAAGCCTAGTCGCCAACTGCCTCGTCATACAATGTTGGCTGAAGTAGGTCCATGCTGGTAAAAGGCTCAAGATGGCCACACTGAAACATGGCACCAATGCATGAAGTCTCTGACTGTTGGTTTGAGCCATATGGGGCGATGCAGACTAGGTGGTTGTGGTCCGCGGGACAAGAGGAACCAGTGGTTGGAGACTCTAGGTGATATAGCTCAGAATTGATGCCAGTGGCGCAGATGTATACACACACACACATTATCTTCATCTTAAGGACGCTATACCGAATCTCACCACTTTTTCATTCTTCCTTTCTTTCTTCTTGTACTTTATATTTCTTTTGACTGCATTCTCTTATTTTCACCTTGCTCCTCACTGCCTTTTTACTTGATGTACTGATGTGAGGTTTGGCAACTCGGACTGTTACGCAGTAATGCTTGGTCCTAGGTTGATCTGGATGAATGGATGATTGGAAGCTATTGAGCATTAATTTTGTGACCCGTTTCTATAATACGTTGAGTTGTAGATGAAGAGATTTATCTTCCACCTGCCCTTATCAAAGTTTCCTACTCCATCTGTTTTTATAACCATTTAGGTACCTTCAACTGCATGGCTCGATTTCTCTGCCCTATACATATGGGCACACACACACGACAATGGGATATGATGTAAACAACATTGATGTAGTGTTTAGGTTTTTGGTGAAGCCTGTGTTTTGTCTTTTTCAGTGTTAAGCTTACCTGCATAATAGGTTTTCCTAGTAATTGGTTTTAGCCAACGTCTCAAAATTATACTATTCATTTTCGTTTTGTACGATAGAGTGATATAGACACTTTTCTCAGGATTGGTGTATAAAGTTGGCTTTAGTGTTACTTGACATCTGCAACGGTTAATGGACTTCAAGGGATATCCTTTTTCCACAAGTTTTATTTGCCAATAAACTGATATCTTTATCCATCATATCTGACGTACAGATGTGATCAGTTCTGTTAAACAGGCATTTTATTAGACCTCTTTTGTTTTAGACGAATTGACCTTATTTGAATTTGAAAAGGACTTTGTTGTTTAGTATTCTTTTCTGCTTGTATTCACCTTCTGTAGTTCTCTCTACCCAATGGTAACTAGAACAATATCTATTTAACATAATCCAGTGTGTTAGATGATAGAAACAGGGGAGTTCATGAACCTCATTTCAGAATCCTGAAGTGATGCTTTTTCTAAATGAAGTGTAACCAGTTATCAAAGACGACCTGTTAAATTAGTAGTAGTGTACTGTAACTCATTCATCCAATGAGTCATGGGTTTGAATCCTGCTCCACCTACCGAGGTTTTATTAAGTCTCATACAATAATTGTGACTCCATTGTCTACTACATGAATATGCGCCAGAATGCTGAGTACATTCCGATCCGAAGTAGTAGTATTTGCATATAGCTCAGTCGAGAAATTCAATTACCCATCAAGGCATGAGTATACTGCACTGCAGACTGTTCTGTCCTATTATGTGACTGTGAGACATATGGCCGTTAAAAGTGGAAGACATGAAGGGTGCGAAAGGATTTTAATCACAGATATCTATTCAGCGTTGCTCGCACTTGGTGATCAATGTCGATGTCAGGTGAAGGGTACTAGGCAAGACAGGCAAGTCGATTAGTGATGTTGTGAACCTTAATCGACTGAGATGGCTTGGACATGTGTTGTGCATGCAAAGCATCGTCTACATTGATTGACATGGCAATGGAAGCTGGATTAAATTCGGAGGGGATTCATGGTTGTGAGACCAAGACATGGCAGCAGTTTACGATGTCTGTAACTGTTTCTCTGAGCCTGTGTAGGTAGGTGGGTGTTTAAATTCAGTCCCCGCCCATGCACATTTGTCTACTTTGATGTCTTTTTTTCTTATCCACTTGCTGTTTGTATACTACTGTGAAGTGTGCCAACTGGAACTAACGCATAAGTCTACGAGGTTCTACTTTGATTATTGTCTGTCTATAGATTTATTTAACCATTATGAACTAAGAATTATCTAGAAAGTCCTCCATAGTATTTTGTAAATATTCTATCATTATAACTTCAAAGTAATTTTCTTTTTGTAAATGTATTTTTTTCCCCTCACAAAAATTCATTGTAGCTTTCCACCAGAACTTTCACAGAAGCTACTTATTCTTTTGACGCATAGAACTGTTATTTCTGAGCGTGGTTTGCAATATATTAGTTATTCACTTGCTTTTTTAATTGGATTACGTTGGAGTCTGACGACTGGGTAAGTTGAATTATCATTTTTTAATCAGTTAATGTCTTGAACTTATTACTTAGCTATCTTTTGTCGCCTAATCGTATACAAATATGATTGTGTATTGTCTCGCGATATCGTATTTAAAGAATTATCCTTACGTGAACTTGACACTTGCAGAAACCAGTCACTAATTCTTCGTGCTTGTTAAACAGTGACGAATTCCAGACCAAGAAAGAACACAACAGCGTAGCCAGATAAGAATTGTGAATTTGATAGATCGTGCTAAAATACTGACGCTTTTCGACTTACTGGCTAAAGGATCATGTATGTGTAGCATAACGTGATCCGACAACCTGCCGAATGGTGTGGATGCTTGACCGTGTTCATTCACCTTAGCCAGTCCATTAAAACTGTGAAGGTCAACATCAATGTTGAGTCTTCAATATAGAAGTAAAACTTGCGCACAGTAGTGAGTTGTAATTCCATTTCAGTCTGTTTATTAGAAATATCATATGCAATGAAGGAACAGCATCATTTACTAAACAACGTTTCGAAAACAATTTATTGTCCATATTCATAACAAGTAACTAACCCCACAATTTACAGACACAATTTATATATTCCCAATTTTATATCCTCCTCTTCAATGACAAGGGTTGCAGAATACTCCATATATCTGGCACAGGTACAGAATCATTCCTATCACTGCATGTATTGTATTCCGTGTTCATTGGATAAACAAACATCCAGTCAGTCGGTTATCAATCTCTCCCTCCTCCCCTCCAACCAAGTAATTTAGTGTTTAACGGTATCGCTCTATTCCACCCTACTGTGTGATTTTGTATAATTACGTGCACAGCTGTAGCCGAACTTCTCTCTAAATTCTTTATCTTATCACCATCGACCAGGCACTTTAATTTCAGACAACCTTGTTAAGAATTTTTCGTAATGCTTCTGAGGGAACCTGTCTTGTAAGGTAACAGTGGAGGCTTTGAACTCTTTTTCAACCCTGTCACCATCATTACTATTAGCAGTGGAATTATTATTAATAACACCTTTATTATATCCCTAAATGATAGAGCGAAAAAGCTTACTAGTAGACCAGAAAATCTACGACAAGAAATTAGACATATCAAGAACACCTTAAGTCTCAATAATTACTCACCAAAATTTATAAATAAATTCATAAGAAAATAAAAATGTTAACAGTAGAAGTAGTAGTAGTAATGCAGGTTGACAGGGTTGAGAGAGGATTCGAAGCCACTGCTTTGTTACCATACAAGGAGGGCACGCCAGAAGTATTGCAAAGAATTCTGAATAAGGCTGTCTGGGATTAAATTGGCTGACATGTAAACCAACAAACTGGCTTAGAAACAAGCTTTGTAAGTTGAAAGATCCTATCTATGTAATTAAGCAAAAGAATCTGGTTTACGAAATGCATTTGAATGACTGTGAAGTCAAGTACATAGGTGAAAGTAGTCGACTGTTGAGGGTCGATTAGAATGAGAGAACACAAAAGGTTAGTTATATGAAGATTAGTAGATGGTAATAAGATAAGTGACTTAGAGTAAAGCTGAGCTATAGGTGCGTGTGCAGTTACAGAGAATCACAGAATAGGGTGAGTGGTATAGAGCGAGAGTGTTGAAAAGTAAGTTATTTGTTTGGATGGATGGAGGGAGGGAGAGATTGATAACCGACTGACTGGATGTTTGTTTATCCAATGAACACAGAATACAATACATGCAGTGATAGGAATGATTCTGTACCTGTGCCAGATATATGGAGTATTCTGCAACCCTTGTCATTGAAGAGGAGGATATAAAATTGGGAATATATAAATTGTGTCTGTAAATTGTGGGGTTAGTTACTTGGTGTGAATATGGACAATAAATTGTTTTCGAAGAGTTGTTTAGTAAATGATGCTGTTCCTTCATTGCATGTGACATTTCTAATAAACAGACTGAAATGGAATGTTGAATCTTGTCGAACCGTAGGTTATTGATTAATTTTGAGGAATTATTTGCCACTACAGCGTATATTTATCGAGTAAGTAGTCATGGTACTATCAACGATTAAACACTAGCCTATTTGATATGAATTTTATGCTAAGAGATCAAACTGGTTTAGACATTTATCTTCTAAACGATGAGCCATGAGTCCAAACTCCACGCCACTTACCAAGATTTGACTGCAGCTAGGTACTAAACATCATTAGCCCGCACATCGTAGGTGTGGCCCACTACCTACTGCACGAGGTTACTGAGTGCCGCCAAGCCATTAGAGTACAGCTTATTACTTCATTATGTTGTAAACCGGTCTTTGAGCAATCGTATAAAGACTAAATAATGGTAATATTAGTAAACTAAGATATATCTATTTTGATCTAGAGACTTAGTTGCGAAGTTGTAGTTTTTCGAATTAGTTGACTTTCAACTAGTGGGTTATAGTTGGGAAATTCACTCCACTTATCAAAGTTTAGGTAGTCAAGCGTTACTACTGAAGAGAAACTCAGCAGAGTAGTAGATACCATTTTTATTGAGAAGATACATCCCATGACTGTAAAGATACTAAACCTTACAATATAGTTGCCACGTGTAAACAATCTCTTGTTCTGCATCTGAGTAGACATTGTTTCTCTTATTTCGCCTAATTGAGAGATTTTGGGAAATACTATAGATGGTTTTTACTCGCTTGTCTTATCCATCATATGGTCACTACTGAGCAAATACAATGGAATTGAACTTCTTATTGTTTTCATTTACCCATTCCCTTGAATACTTGATTAAACTACGATCAGAGGCGATTGTACACAGAATTCGTCGATTATATATCATCTTCTGTTTGACTGTTAACATTAAATCCGTGAACTATGGTTTTCATTTTTACTGTCTGAGACTGGCGTAGTTTGACAAACTTGTATTGTTCATATTAACTGACGAATAAAGGTGAAATGAAAATCTGGTTCTTGACAGGATTCGAACCAGCGACTTTTTCAGATAGTCACAATGATAACCAATATGATGATCTCCTTTTCTGACTCAGCTCGGTTTAGGGTTAAGATGAGAAGGTATGAGTAGACAGCTAGTGTGAATATGATAAAGGGATAGATACGCATCACGAAGTCACACAGTAGTCAGGCAAAATCCTTGTTTATTGAGGTCGGGTCTCGTAACTCAGTTGATAGAGCATCAGGCCGGTTTGAAAAATCCTATCCTTGGCTAGTCGATATCAATTTCTAGATGACTACTGAAAAACAAGAAATCAAATTGAAATTTACTCAGAAGCAGTAGGCAATGAAGCACACCTATTGTATGATGGTTAATAACATACTAGCTGGCTGCTCAAATTACTATAGGTGAAGCTAAGTCCGAACTCGTGTCCGTTGGCTGAAAACAAGATGGATTCAACTGACTACTTCTCACTTACATTCAACAGTACTGTTAACTTGATATTCCATATAGTATGTTTCGCTGTGCTAATAAATAAAATACTCAGAAGAAGTACATGTTTCCCACCTTTTACTTATTCAGACCAATAAGAATCGAATTAGTGGTCAATTCTCATTGGCCGATTTGTGAATATATATAGTCGAATCAGCTGAGTAAAGTACTTCTTCACTAATAACAATAAAAGTTATAAAGGTTTCTTAACAATATATGTTGTCGGACAGTATAATCATTTTATCTGGGATTTAATCACACTATTCACCAGTGATCAGACGAGGATGTCAAAGTCAGAATCGGAAAAGCAAGACAGGCGTTCATTAGCCTGAAACCAGTGTGGAGATCTTCTGCACTCAGCATATGGAACAAGATCCGGATTTTCAACACCAACGTCAAGTCAGTGCTTCTGTATGGCTCAGAGACTTGGCGCGTCACGAAAGGCATTTCCAATAAACTACAGACATTCATCAACAACTGCTTACGCTCGTTGCTGAAGATCAGATGGCCAGAAAGAATAAGCAACAAGGTGCTCTGGCAACGAACCAACCAACAACCTATCACGCAACAAATATGCAGGAGGAAGTGGAGATGGATTGAGCATGCACTGAGAAGGCCGACTGGGGACATCACGCGTCAGGCCAAGTACTCGATTGGAATCCCCATGGGAAGCGACGAGTTGGACGTCCGAGGTGAGGGTGACATGGAGGAGGTCGTGCGAGGAGGAAATGAGAGCTTCTGGCTGTCGTGGGACCAGGTTCAAAAGATTTCAGAGAACAGAGGTCACTGGAGACGTGCTACTGAAGCCCTATGTCCCACTAGGAACCCAAGGGACTAATAATAATAATAATAATAATAATAATAATAATAATAATAATAATAATAATAATTCACCAGTGATGTTCAGTCAGTTAGGTGACCACCAGTATTCTCAAGCAGTTGTTAACTACGATCGGGGCAGATGGATTATATTGAAAGGGGGCTCAGGATGGTCAGACTGAGATGTGGGACTAGTCTATGAAGTCTCTGATTGTTGAACTGAGGCGTGTAGGAAGGATTTAAACTACCTGGTTGGTGATCCTTAGACGAAAGGAACTATTGGCTGAAGGCTCTTAGTGACTTGACCTGAAATCGGTGACATTGGCGCAGATATATTTGCTCTTTGACGTCTTCTGAGGTTTGAATATTTGCACTAATATTTATGTTCAGATTGTTTATTCTTAGACAACTTTGTCTTTTTCTATCCACTTGTTATTTATATATTATAATGAGGTGTGGCAACTTGAGGTGATGCACTTGTGTACAAGGTTCTACGTTGATTTTGTCTATGTATGTCTGTCTGTTATGTGAACTTGTGTTGGTCAGTTACACGGATTAACTGAATTCTGACGATTAGGCTAAACAACTTGATATGATAATGTATCTTATTACATTGAGACGCAATATATTTCGAAAAATCTGGGAACTTCGCATTTCCTATTACTTCAACCTTTCTGATGGATGTATTATTGTTGCGTACCAGCAAAGTTCACATTTGAAGGTGAACGCTTTCGATGGTGTAGCTATGAGTAGTCCCTTAGGACAACTGTTAGCTGATATTTATATGTTATATATCGAAAATCTGGCTGGCGATCTAATCGCTAAAGTTCCTCTTTACAAGAGATATGTTGATGACATCATAGTGATTTGTGAGAGGCATGAGGAGATGGCGTATCTACAAAAAAGACTTAACACCGTACAAACTCACACGAACCTGACCTGTGAGAAAGAGAATAATAATCATCTACCATTCTTAGACATATTCATGAGTCGTCGAGAAGATGGTTCAATAAGACCGTCAGTTTACAGATAGCCTACATAGACAGGACAATACATGAATTTTTACAGTTTTTATCCAATACAATACAAACGAGGTCTAGTAAAATGCCAGTTGAATAGGATCTATTTTATCAGTACTCGAGATACGATAGATGAGGATATGAAATTACTGACTAAAGCACTTATAGAAAATAGATATCCGATGAAGTTTATAAACCCTTGTAGAGGTCAGTTAGCACTGAAGCCAACTCTATACACGGTTTCTAAGAGAACTGTCCATATTACTCTACCATACAGAAGGGAGTTGAATAGTATAATTTTAAGGCGTAGGCTGACATAAGAGATTAAGAAAACATGTATGCTGAGAATCTTATCATTATGGAAAAAAAAAACACATGCTTCATGAAAAACCTAAACACCACATGAATGATAACGTCACATTCCATTGTGTTTACCAATTTACATGTTTGTGTGGTGATACATACATAGGGAGGAGTAATCGAGTCATGCAGTTCAGGGTGGGAGACAACGTGTACCCAAATGGCTTCAAAAATAAATAGAGTTTGGAACCGTGATAAACGCTGATGGGATACAACCCTCTTCATCTATAGCTAAACATATCATAGAAACAGGTCACAAAGTTAATGTTCAAATGGACTTCCAAGATTTATATAGAAACAGTCAGGGAGGTATCCTAAGATTCGCAGAAGCCATAGACATAAACAAATTGAAACCACATTTATGTACACGAAAGAACAATTTGTTCTTCCTGTTTTCTTTTCATCTTTCTTAATTTGAATCCCTTTATATTATGTTAATTGTTGTATCTGTCCCCTCGATCCTCGGTATATAATATATATTAACTTGACAAGTCAACTAAGTTTATGTTCAGATTATTCAAAATGTGTATTGCACAAATATATCACACACCGTGTTCAGATAAACTTCGTCTTACAATTACACTATCGAAATAGTATTATTTGCTTAGTGATTAAATTATATATCATGCATCAGTATATTGTACAATTGATAAAGTATAGGAGGAAAAGGGTTAATTTTATTAGATTCTTTCACACTGATTTCATTATAGCTCACTTCATTTGGTTTTACCTATTAAATTGTAGATTATCTTTAGACACTGGCAGTAATAATCATGGTAATAATCGAATATCAATGAGTATAGATGTTGAGAATATTATTGTAACATGGCTTCAACGTTTAATAGATGAACAAGATATTTTCAATTCAATTACTCAATCTTCAGCTTCATCATCTTTATCATATCTTCATAATTGTAATCAATTGCCAAAAACAATATCATATATTGAACCTTGCTACTTTTGGCTATATTATTTCATACAAATCAACCTGGTCCAATCACTGAATTAATATCAACATTGCTTGGTTTACGTATACCATCACTTGGACGAACTATAAACGGTTGGCGTAAATTATTTCTACAAACTGTTTTCACAGAGAATGTAAGTGTTATTCAACTGAATTGTAGGGAGTTTACCTATTTATTTTTTTTTAACAACTAGAAAAATTGAATTTTGTGAAAGTTGTTGAGATTTGGAAATATTTCAAGTAGACTGACATCAGTTGGAAAGCTGATATGAAGTTCAGATTTTACTAAGACTAACTTAACTGACAGTTCATGAATTAGTCGTCAGTGATTAACCATTTCATTTGTCTACTTTCGTAGCTCTCAGAGTTTGTCGAAGTTTATTGATCAAGTTCTACAATATGGCTAATAAGCGACACTATAGTAGACTGTATTTTGGTCTAGATGTTAATAGCTAGTGGAGAGGAAACTCTCATTGATACGAATTTCATACTTGTTGGAATTCATCAGTAAGGCGTTTCTACAAGTATGAGGAAACTAGTGTTTCCTTGGTCATTCGAACATAGACTCTTGTGCTATCTATTCAACAACGTAATTCATAAGCCATAACATCAAAACTATACTATGCTTGTTGGAGAAAGAGCGTCTTATCGTGACTATATGACCTAGTGGATATAATGCTCTGACATTGGAAATGATTATTCCTGGGAACAATATCATTCATTGGGAGGTAAGTACATCCAGCTGACAAGTCCAAAATAGAACGAAATGGGGTTCAATGAATTCCCAATTCTAGGCATTATAAAATATTAAGAAAAAAAGAATGAAAGTATTGACTAGAAGTCATAAAATGCAATAAGATAAACATAACAATCGCATCCAACTTTTAGAAACATCTACTTTTTTTGTGAAAGCTTTTAATACTACTCGATTACTGAAATCCCCAATAGGTGTTTGTATAAGAATGTTAACATTAAAAAATTTTCGTCTATCAATAAAATTCATATTTATTTGTGTCTATCCAGTTTAATCTATCTATCTATCTATCTGTCTATCTAATTGTTCTTATGTATTTTCAGATGATTGCCAGTCAAGTTGCTAGAATTCCAATTACACGAAATTAAATCGTTACTTAGTCAATCATTTACCAACACAATGTATGCTACAATTACTTAAATCTCATGCATTCGCTAAAAATAAATTACACACTAAGGTAAGTTCAAATAATACTTAGTTATGATTTATAAATATTTCTCACCAAGATATGAAAGACTTTAAAGGCCCCCCCCATCCCGGCAACTACTGTAATAACCAATCAGGTCTCAGTATTTGGGCTAGGAAGGTGGTTTTTTTTCAGAAATATAGAAACCAAATTGGTCACCTCAGCAGTTGCTAAGGTGGCCTTTAAAGTCACTCTCGCATTTCACCCTTTCATTTCAGTGACTTTAAAGGACACGCTAGCAACTGACGAAACAACCAATCACGTTTCTTTATTTTATGAAAGATTGTCTTCCCAGCCGAAATTATTATCATATTTATCTCTTCGGTTCCTAATAGAACACAGGGCTTCAGTAGCACGTCTCCATTCCACTCTGTTCTCTGCAATCTTTTGAACCTGGCTCTAGGACAGCCCAGAACCTCTCATTTCTTCCTCACATCATCTCCTCCATGTCACCCTCGCCTAGGACGCCCAATTCGTCGTTTTCCCATCTGCCTTCCACTCGAGGGATTGGCCTGACGTGTGATGTCCCCAGTCGGCCTTCTCAGTGTATACCCAATCCATCTTCACTTCCCTCTACTGCATATTCGTTGAGCTATAGGTTGTTAGTTGGTTCGTTGCCAGAGTTCCTTGTTGCTTATTCGTTTCATTCTGGCCATCTGATCTTCAGTAACGAGCGTAGGCAGTTATTTATGAATGTCTATAATTTGTTGGAAATCCCTTTCGTAACGCGCCAAGTCTCTGAGCCACATAAAAGCACTGACTTACTTGACGTTGGTGTTGAAAATCCGGATCTCGTTCTTTGTGTTGAGTGCAGAAGACCTCCACACTGGTTTCAGGCTAATGAACGCCTGTCTTGCTGTCTTTCTGATCCTGGCTGGATTTGACATCCTCGTCTGTGCCCGTGGCGCCTGTAGTTGAAACAGTGCTCTCTAGATAGGTGAAGGAAGCTACTTCCTTTAAGTTTCTCCCGTTGATGGTGATTGCAGCTTGTTGTTGGTGTTGGTTGGGTATCTTCATCACCTCTGTCTTCTCTACGTTTACTCGAAGTCCCGTCTTCGCTACCCTGCCTCTTCTGTCAACTTGTTGATTTTTGCCTGTAGATCTTCGAGTTTGTGTGACATTAGACACAAGTCATCGGCGAAATCCAAATCTTCTAGGATCTTTTTCCCGGTCAAACAGCATATGCCCATCTTCTCGCTCCTCACTGTTTGTTGCATGATCCAGTCCACTACGATCAGGAATCCCAACCGAAATACTGCAACCTAATTGGTTATTTTAGCAATTGTTAGGGTGGCCTTTAAAGTTGCCCCATTTCAGGCGGCTTGTTCAGAAGTAATGGCTTCAGTGAGATCGTGCAACTAGCATTCGCTACCGCGAAGCGTAATAATCCTGATACAAGTTTAGCTGCAAGAAAACTCTTTTTCAATGCTTCTTTGATTCTTGTGTCTATTCTCTTGGGTGTCTTTTTCTCTCAATCTATTCTTTTCCCTACTTCATAATAAATCTCTTAGGATATCTGTTGTATCAGAGACCACTTTACCTCTGAACATAAATTCCTAGCTCCGTTGTAAAGTGTTTTAATTAACTTATATATTTTATTGTTCTATTATAGAAATGGATTATAGGACAAGTACGTGAAAGTATCCGTCCAATTCATCCATTATTACCAGAACTTTTAGAAGCGCATATTACGCATTCGTTTGGTTCGAATACGAATACATCATCTTCCATGAATGATATGCCTAGTATATCTGGTACTACTACTACCACTACTACTACTGGTAATCAATCAACAGCTTATATCAACTTATCTTTAATTTCTGAACAAGAATTGATTAATGAATTTACAAATCCAAAATGTTCTCATTTCATTCAATTTTGTGCTCCAGGATTCAATATGAATTCATTGAATACATCAGTGGATAACTCTGTCAAAGATTTTTCTAGCATATCTTCTGAAGGAGAAGATTTTACACCACAGTTATTATTTTTATACTACGCCTTTTTTGTTTATGATTATCAGTTATCTGCACGGTTAGCAGCTAATCGCCGTAAGTTTTTAATCAATTAGTCTGTTATTATTCTTCTTCTTCTTATTATTATTATTTATATGTGGTCCAGGTTTTACTCTCTGTATAAGGATGGATAAACAGGACTATGTGTTTACGTGAATCTGTTCATCTTCTATAGGAAGTAGATAGATAATTACTGTTGGTCAGAGGATATTTTCATACCTATTAGGTTTTCTTTATTTTTTCCTGAATTTATTTTGTGTAGTTATAGTTAATACTCGTGATAGAACCGTGGCATGTTGGTTCGCAGTTCTATCTACCAAGATTTGTGCAGGTATTAGAAATGCCATACCTCAACTCTATATATATCCCCTATCGTCGCAGACATATTTATAGGATACGTTAGGAACGGATAGGTCCTTCAAATATTTAGTCCTACTCCAAAGATATGGTTCCGATATGTAGATGATACATTTACAGTACTGAAATCGCAATACATCAATAGGTTCTTGGCACATATAAATTCACTTGTGAATCCAATCCAACTTAGCCTGTGACTTAAAAAGTCATGAAGGTGACCTAGCAATGCTGGATTGGAAGATTAAATGAACACAAGACGGAAGTCTAGAGACTAGTGTCTATAGGAAACCTACCCATTCGAATCGACTACTTAGACTTCGAATTCCTCCCTTCCCCGTTTCAGTTTGAAGTAGGCCTTAGTTAAATGCTTAAGTGATAGGATGGAAAAGCTTACTAGTAGACCAGAAAATCTACGACAAGGGAATTAGACACATCAAGAATGCCCTACATCTCAATAATTACCAACCAAAATTTATAAATAAATTCATAAGAAATCGAAAGAAAAATATTAGTAGTGTTAGTAGTAGTAATGCAGGTTGACAGCGTTGAGAGAGAATTCGAAGCCACTGCTGTGTTACCATGCAAGGAAGGCACGCCAGAAGTATTGCAAAGAATTCTGAATAAGGTTGTCTGGGATTAAATTGGCTGACATGTAAACCAACAAACTGACTTAGAAACAAGCTTTGTAAGTTGAAAGATCCTATCTATGTAATTCAGCAAAACAATCTGGTTTACGAAATGCATTTGAATGACTGTGAAGTCATGTACATAGGTGAAAGTAGTCGACTGTTTAGGGTCGATTAGAATGAGAGAACACAAGTAGTTAGTTATATGAAGATTAGTAGATGGTAATAAGATAAGCGACTTAGAGTAAAGCTGAGCTATAGGTGTGTGTGCAGTTACAGAGAATCACAGAATAGGGTGAGTGGTATAGAGCGAGAGTGTTGAGAAGTAAGTTATTTAGTTGTTTGAATGGATGGATGGATGGAGGTAGGTAGGTAGGTAGGGAGGGAGAGATTGATAACCGACTGACTGGATGTTTGTTTATCGAATGAACACGGAATACAATACATGCAGTGATAGGAATGATTGTGTACCTGTGCCAGATATATGGAGTATTCTGCAACCCTTGTCATTGAAGAGGAGGATATAAAATTGGGAATATATAAATTGTGTCTGTAAATTGTGGGGTTAGTTACTTGGTGTGAATATGGACAATAAATTGTTTTCGAAACGTTGTTTAGTGAATGATGCTGTTCCTTCATTGCATATGATATTTCTAATAAACAGCCTAAAATGAGATATAAAAAATGTTCCAAATAAAGTGGAATATCAGGAAATAACGGTAGGGATCTTGATATCCGCATGAACTGGCAAAAATACTGATATATAGAGGTTATTAAGTGGTGATCGAGGTGGGATTAAACAGAAGGAACAAAGTTTTTGGGATTTTTGTAGTTAAATCATACTACTGAATACTACTAAGTAGTATAAATTTTAAGGTAAAAAAATGGACATAAGGTTGACAATGACTTTTCAACTTGTGTTATCTAGGGTATATTATTTTATGGAGCGAACTCAAGATGCACGAGAAACGATGTATATACTTAAGATAGGTCATTCAACTCATCAAATTTCAATAAATAGTGTGCTTGGAGTGTGCGTTATATATATTTAGCCACCAACCACTTGTATATACGTTGATAACTTGAGTATATGGTGAGAGTGAAGAAATCTCTCAAGATATCTTATACGTCTCAATAATAATATACAGTTGTTTGCTACTTTACTTATGCCTGAGTGTAGTGTTCCAACCTGACAATTCGATTGTCAACTAGCTAAGTGAGTGACTAATTGAAACCCAACTCAATCTACCAAGATTTCCTCACTCTCTTCAACAGTGAACACATCCTATTAATAGGTTTATGAAATTGTACGTGGTTTTTGAATAGTAGTAAGTTTATTCTTGGCCTAATTTCTATGTTTGTCAGTGTACAAATATTGTATTGCTCGATATGTGGCTTTTGAATTGATTTTACTCAACTGTTCCTTAAAAACTGACAAGGGGATAACGAAAACGAAGATTTTCTGTAAATTCAGTCATGTACTTCCGATATTTGGTGACTGACATTGACTAACAAATCAATGTAGAACCTTGTACGCAGGTGCATCAACTCAAGTCACCACACTTCACTGTAGTAAAAAAAAACAACAGATGGATAGGAAAAGATAGATATCAGAGTGGATAAAGTAGAGTGAGAGAATATAAAATGGAAATATAAAAGATAGTGCAAATATTCAAGTTTTAGGATGAATCAGAGAGTGAATATACTTGAGTCACTGTGACTGACTTTCATTTAAGTCACTAAGAGTCATCCACTAGTTATTCTTTTCGTCTCGGACACCCTAAGCAGGCAGTCTGCATCTACCCACATGGCTCACGCCAACAGTCAAGGATTTCATCGACTGGTGCCACATCATTGTCTGACCACCTTAAACTCCGTTCTAACCCTGATCCAAAATCCATAGCCTGCCTTATTTGCATAGTACCCTTTGCTTGGTGTCAACATTGCTCACAGGGCGATTCCATTGAATGTCAGCAATGCTAGGAAAACGTCTTTAATCAAAACCTGTTATCACTGTATGTATTTTTAACGTCCATATCTCACAGTCGTACAGCAGGAGATAACTTACTACAACACAGTGTACTCGTATTTTGATAGATAGTCGGATATCTCTCTAGTGGGTGGCAGAGATTACTCAAGTTGGCAAATGCCAAACGGACCTTCTGTATTCAAGCTGAGATTTCATTAGCAACCAACCCGTTCGATGCAATTCTTCAAGTAAGTGAAATGGTCGATACATTTCATCACATCACTTTCTATCATTAAACTTCGAATGTTTAGAGACACATTCTGGACTATCATCTTACATTTCACTGGTGCCAGTGAAACGCATGCCAAACATACTCAGATTTCTGCCCAATGTGTCCAGGAGACTCAGCATTTCATCAGGGTCTTCACCCACTCGGACAATGTTGTCTGCACATTCTAGGTTAACGTGATAACTTTCAGGGAGTAGGTCAGTCAGACGTTACCAAGCTTATGCCCATCAGTACGTCTATGACGAAGTTCAATAGGAACGATGACAATTAACATCTCTAGCGGACACCACTAGTTGTCGTCATTTCCGATGACAACTTTCCATAAACCCTCATGTGGTTGTATACGTTCGAGTAGAGACCTTTTATTAGCGTTATATACTTGCTCGGTACTCTCTTCAGAGTCAGACATTGCCACAACACCTCAAAAGACACCTTCAGGTCAAGAAATATGGCAGGTGCCCGCCGCCGGTATTTGATATTTCGTCGTAATATAAGTTCAGATAAGACAGTTTTCTGTATGTGTAGGTTTGTGGGGATTTTATCAATCTCAGGTTGTTTTCCTCATGAACTGACACAAGTGACTTGTTTTGCAATGAAGTTTCCCGAAGTTGTAGCGAGAAGTCGTGACCGGTGAGATTAACCAAGTCCAACTGGAGCACAAATACTCAACGATGGCGTTAGATTACGGTTGCATTTTATCGCTAGATGACAAAAGTAGGAGAATTTAAACCACTGGGGCCCGATTCAATGGCTCAATGGTAACGCGCTTACTGCGAGACCCATAGGTTCTGAGTTCGATCTCTACGGGGAGGGGGGAGTGCGTACTTCTGGGGAGTTTCACCATAGTATGAGACAGCTGTCCAGTATACCACGGTTTCCAATGTTTCTCTAACTGATATGACCCCTAATGAATACCAACTTTATAGTATGATGCTTTATTCTCTCATATCAGTTGTTGTGGTTAATACAAACCAAAATTAGTGTTTATGTGCCAGTCACCACTAAATACCGCGTATATTTGCTCATTTATATATGCCTGTTATTGTATCATTTCATCATGTGTATTTCTGATCATTATAGATCGTTTACCTGATGAACCGTCATGTGTATATTCTGACAAACTGTGGGATATAATACCGATTACATATCTTCTTCAGTATGCTCGTGCCCACCTATCCGATTATCGTGCTCTCTATCCAAAATTACTACAGTAAGTTATCCTTTTAGAGAAGTAAATCATTAATTTGCCTACTGAAATTATTCTCATTCATTTAATTAACAGAAATAATATATTTTAAACTAGTTACAGCTAGTGTATAACAGTTTTTGCGAAACCAAGAGAAATATCTTCTCAAAAACCATTTGAGTGAACAAAGAATATTCTTCTCGGCAGCATCTTCAGGTTCCACAGTTATGTGTATATATTGATTAATTATGGGTCAACAGAAGTGAGATTTTGCTTTATCAGTTTGTGAATAATATTCATTATACAGTTAAGGAAGTCAATTTAGGAAAGTTATGTGTAAACGTAGACGCCACATGCCAAGTAATTCACATTGGGAAGCTCAGTGATGCATTTCAAGTGAAGACAGGAGTAAAACAAGACTGCTGTCTACTATCACCCATCATCTTCCTGACTGTGGTGGACTGGGTCATACAGCAAACAGTGAGGAGCGAGAAGATGGGCATATGCTGTTTGGCCGGGGAAAAGATCCTAGAAGATTTGGATTTCGCCGATGACTTGTGTCTAATGTCACACAAACTCGAAGATCTACAGGTAAAAACCAACAAGTTGACAGAAGAGGCAGGGCAGTGAACACGGGACTTCGAGTAAACGTAGAGAAGACAGAGGTGATGAAGATACCCAACCAACACCAACAACAAGCTGCAATCACCATCAACGGGAGGAACTTAAAGGAAGTAGCCTATTTCACCTATCTAGGCAACAGTGTTTCAACTACAGGCGCCACGGGCATAGACGAGGACGTCAAAACAACCATAATTGGAAAAGCAAGACAGTGTGGAGATCTTCTGCACTCAGCATAAAGCGTGAACAACATCCGCATTTCCAACACCATTTCATTCAAGTCAGTGCTTCTGTATGGTTCAGAGACTTGGCGCGTTACGAAATGGATTTCCAACAAACGACAAACATTAATCAACAACTGCCTACGTTGGCTGGTTACTGAAGCTCAGATGATCGGGAACAATAAGCAACAAGGAACTCCGGCTGGCTGGCAACGAGCCAACGAATCAAAAACCTATTGCTCAGCAAATATACAGAAGGAAGTGGAGATGGATTCGGCATACACTGAGAAGACTGACTGGGGACACCACGTGCCAGGCCAGGCCTTTTAGTGGAACCCAGATAAAAAACGACGAGTTGGGTGTCCTAGGTGAGGGTGACATGAAGGAGATGGTATGAGGAAGAAATGAGAGGTTCTGGGCTGTGATGGAGCCAGGTTCAAAAGATTGCGGAGAACAGAGTGGAATGGAGACGTGCTACTGAAGCCTTATGGTTCCACTAGGAACCCAAGGGACAAATAATAATAATAATAATGTGTAAACGTTAAGGAATAGCATCAACGGTTACTGGAATTCAATCCAAAATAATAATTGATTATCTGAACGATTATACTGTATAGGTAATGCTATAAGCTGATAGTTTAGTAAAGCAAGTGGAAGGCGTTTATGAGAGCTGGATAAAATAAACTAAGAAAGATAATTTGAGGAATAATAACTTGATAGAATGTTACTCATATTAGAGGAGAAAATAGGTTCAGAGAATTTTGTTAAAAGTATTTTCGATTATAGAGATGAAGGGATCTTTACAGTATGGAATTAGAAAATTAGATTACCTGAGACGGAATTCTACATACCCCGAATGGGGTCATGATAGTTGTAGCGGCGGTACTTGTTTTCTATTGAAACGCATAACTGAGATTGTTTAATCCCTGATTGCCACCACTTTCTGGCGTCTGAAGGATTCTAAGTCAGGTGCATTTGGCAAGTTGATGAGAATCTGATGCAGAATGGAAAACGACTTATTTCATATCCACTTTATGTTTCTTTTTAACCCATATGCTAATATGGTACTAGTAAATGGTCTTAACCATCCCTGTATTTAACTAAGCTTGGAGGTGTTGGTGAGCATGAAAAATTAAATTCCTAGAACAGCAGCCGACGTAACGGATCCTATGAGAGTAGTCAAACTGATAAATACAATAGGATGTGGTCAGTCAAGGCATTTCATTTTCCTGTCTCAGTGTCACTATTGAGGGTGTAGAGAATGTAGTTTATAATTTACCGGCATTAAATGTTCACTGAGTTGATCTGTATAGTTTTTGAATGAATATCTAGCAAAACACATCACCTCCGAATTGTATCTAAATGTATAGTGATTTCACACTAACCGTTGGAATAGCCTTTCTTGCCATTTTTGTATGTTTTTTATGAATTGTATTGTTCAAAGTCGTCAATTCATCCTCAACCATATCTTCGGAACACATAACCTTTATTCTGTAACTTAAAGTTTTTACTAAATTTCTTTTGCGTTGAAGAACCTGAGAAAATGTATGTATTGCTGCGTCCACATACTTTTCCTGAACAAATTCTTCATTTTATCGACCCATCTGTTTGTCTTGACAGAATAACATCGAGAAAAGCTGTAACTCTTCCTTACATGTGAATTTCATCGTTAGGTTGTACTATTTTGAATCTACTGAGTATGTTTGACCTATCGATGTTGTTTTCACTTAGGATGAAAGTATCATGCGTATATTGATAGTAAAATAAATTTTGTCTGATGGATCATTCAAGCAAACTATTCTGTAGTGTCGATATAAAAAACGTTCGCTAATATGGGACTCCAATCATGAACCCATTGTGACTCCATCCACTTCATCAGATATTGAATTGTTGACACTTCCACATTTTTATCATCTATAGTCGAGTCCGTATCCTGCTACTTCACCTACTCAGGTCTATGATAATCGAGTAGAATTATCGGTGTTTGATATAAATATTCTGTATCTCACATAGTGCCGCTTTTTTTCTCTCCTGGATGTGTTATAATATGTACGCTGATACATTTTTGAGAATGTATATAGATTTAAAAGTGAATAATAAGGATAGTATTGAGCAACTAGTGTATTGTACTTTATTAAATGGTGCATGACTGTTTCACATAGATACAGTTTTGTTAAGTTTTCCTCATTTGAATCGGCTTATTCGCTGGATGAACTGCTTCTGCACTGCCTTATTTTGAAAGAAATGTATAATAGATGAAATGCATGTTTAGAAGATAGGCAGATGATGATTGAATGATATGCATACTGATGATTCATTTCACCAATGTTATGTGTCCATTTTGACTTTAAAAGAGACTAGTTAGGCTGACTAGAACGAATATCCCTGATCGCATTCAATAAAGCAGCGTGCAGATTCTATTCAGAAGAGCGAGAACACACTGCAGTACAACAGCTTCATGGAGAAACGAAGAAAATTACTTGATGCCAATCATAAAGAAGAACAGCTACCCACAAAATTTTATCAGAACATGCTTATCCCATGCATCGTCAACTACAAAGTCATCGGCAGAATTCAACAAACGCATCATCCCACCATACATAAAAAATATATCAGAAATCACAACAAGATTGCTGAGACCACTTGGAATTGGTGTGGCGCATAAACCAACAAATTCCCTCCAAACACCATTATGCAGACCAAAGGATGTGACAACCAAAGAAGACAAACTGAATATGATTTACAAAATCCACTGGAATAACTAACTGTAGTCAACAGTCGATTGGAGAAAGCGGCCACCCTCCTCTCGTTTGTCTACATGAGCACCAATTGGCTATTAAACATCACACACGACATTTTATTGTTACTCATTTCAATGCACGTGGGTGATAACTATGTAGTGTAGGTGAATTCAATTTTGACAATGTAGAGATTTTGGATTGAGAGAGGAAACATAAAGGATATCGAAGAATTCCTAGAAGCTTTGGATTCAGGTTAGTTAGTTAGTTAGTCAGTCATTCAGTGAATGGAGAGATGTATAGATAAGAATCGAAGGGTACAACGAATGACAGGCCACATTGTGAGAGGAAGCCACTAAATGACTGAGTCAGGTAGAGATATTGACAGGTTGTAATTCATATTGAAGTTAGTGCTGATGATGTTGCTGTTTCGAAGGATGATGAAAGCTTCAGATTAAACAAGCCAGCTTGGAAAACACAATACAATCAAGGTGTTCTTTCTACATGGCTGTATACAACTTTTCATGATATAATCTACATTTCTCTGTTTTTCATCTCGTTGCTCTTTGTTGATGCGTGGTTTTTATTAGCTTAAGCCATTATACTGTGATGTCAAGTCCTTTGTAATTACTGAATTTATCTACTTAACATAATGTGGTCCCTGCAACTGACCAGTATATGGGTATCTACCTTGTAATAGAACTAGTCTGTAGTATCACACAGGACTAGTCCCTAAGTTATGGTGTTGAGCTTGTTTGATTCTACAATGTAGCGTGTTACTTGATTAAATGATATTGGTTTTTCTATTCATCCCAATAAGAGGCTTTGCCAGCCAGATCAGAGTGACGACGTCTGTTTCGTTTGGAAAAATTCAGTTCATAGAGCTAAATTAACTCGGATCACAAAAATTTATCCAGCTGACTTATGTGGATCGATATACTCTAAAAAGGATGGTCACTTTGCGAATGATTTACACGTAGCATGGTGCACCTTAAGATTTCTCACAAATAAGTAGTTTTTCGAATGATCAATGAGGTTTCCGTTGTAAACCACTCAATCAAGATCACAAGGTATGATCTCTGACAAAAAAGTATCGTAAACTAACGAAATGACTATTTCCTTTTTAGCTTACTGTGATCTGATCACGCTAACTAATTGGTAAACTGACCAGTAGCAAAAGCGTTGAGAAAATGTGTTATAAAAATATAACCTACTTTGAAGTAGTATAGTTAGATAGTAAATAAATGTTTTATGATTCATATGCATCCATCCATCCATCCATCCAGATCAACCTGTGGCCAAGCATTACTGCGTAACAGTCCGAGTTGCCACACCTCATATCAGTACATCAAGTAAAAAGGCAGTGAAGCGCAAGATGAAGATAAGAGAATGCAGTCAGAAGAAATATAAAGTATTAAAAGAGAGAGAGAGGGAGAGGAAGAAT